ATAAGTAAAAGATCTCATAAAAACCGAATAAAAAATGTCACAACTCGATACATAAGTTTCCAAAGCCAGGGTGTCACTGAGTACATCAGAATCTACACAATACAAATCTAAAACATTGTCTAAGAAATTGAAACTGAATAAGTAAAACTAAGGGATAGGGGAGGAGAGTCAAGGTCTCCGGACCCCAGGGCAACTACCTTGATAATCTCCAAATGATGATAAACTCTAAGAATCAGCAACCACCATGTCTGGAAATACCTGGATTTGCACATGAAGTGCAGGGTGTAGCGTGAGTACAACCAACTCAGTAAATAACAAGTCTAACTATTAGGCAGAAAGTAGTGACGAGCTTCACATGTACAGTTCAATTACAGAATTACAGTAAGAAAATGTAGACATGTTTTCAATTTAACAGTTAAAGCCCAAATAGGTAAATCATGTCAAGTTTAATTGAAACAAGATATGGTACATCTTGGTATCTACTTGCCAGTTATATATGCCAACTAAATTACAAAACAATAATGAAATCACATGCATACTCTCAAAGTATCATTCACTCCATCCTTACTCTCACTTCATCCTCACAGTCACTCCTCCCTCACAATCACTTATTCTTTACAGTCCCTCCATCCTCAAAGTTACTCAATCCTCCCAATCACTCAGCACTCGCGCACTCGCTCAATAGGCACCTGCGCTCACTGTGGGTGTGCAGATTTTTGGAGGGGCAAATCCAGCCCAAGCACTAGAATAAGCCAATCATGCCATGAATCAATAAAACTTGCTGCAATATGCAGCTCGATCCCATAAATTACCTCACAATCAGGCCTCACTCAGTCATCAATCTCTGTAGTATGTCGGGCTCACAAGAATCAGGATAATCAACCCAAATAATGATGATATGATGCAATAAAGGACAACAAAGACTGAGACATAATATGCAATAATAGATGTGACTAAGTACAAAATTGCAAATTAAGCAAATAATTCAACATGTAACATGACCTCAGTGGGTCTCAACAATACCAACGCGTAGCCTAAGCATGATTTCTAACATGACTGGCAGCTCAATTTGTCTAACACATAGGTGGGAATATGGATAACGACAAGATTATTCAACTATACAGTTCCATGGAATCGACCAGATCACAATTCATATGGTGCACGCACACACACCCGCCACTAGCATGTGTGTCACCTCAACATTAATAATATAACACGTAATTCGAGGTTTCATACCCTCAGAACGAAGTTTAGAAGTGTTACTTACCTCAAACCTTGCAAATCTCTACTCCAATAAGCCCTTGCCTCGCGAATCAACCTCCAAATGCCTCGAATCTAGCCACAAATAATTTCATACAATCAACACGGGCTAAAGGGATCAATTCCATAAGAAAATACTAAGTTCTTAATCAAAAGTTAAAAAGTCAACTCAAAAGTCAACCCTTGGGCCCATATCTTGAAATCTGATAAGTCACAAAATCTGGAAGCCAACACGAGTCCAACCATACCAAATTTGCCAAATTCCGACACCAAATCGTCACTCAAATCCCCTTCAAAAATTCCACCTCAAAAATACACAAACTAGGTAGGAAATTCAATGTGAAAACAAGATTATTGAATAAAAATGATCACAAGTGATTTATCTCAAGAAACCCTTCGAAATCCCTCTCAAAAATCACCTTAGTCCGAGTTTGCAAAGTCCAAATGAGAAAAATCACAAAACCCTTCAGATTTAACACTACCAGTGCTTTCGTACCGATGACCTGTCACACCTCCTTTTTCTACCCCGAAAGGGTATAAGGGAGTTTTTCCAATTAAAGTGACAATAATCGAAACGGGATTATTTATTCAAATTCAGAGTCGTCACTTGGGATAATTTAGAGTGTCCCAAGTCACCGGTTTAAAATCACGAATCGAGGAAAGATTGACTTATCTGATCGTAGCACTACAATTCGTAAGGAATTCTGTTAACCCAGGAGAAGGTGTTAGGCATTCCTGGGTTCCGTGATTTTAGCATGGTCGCTCAACTATTATTATTGGCCTAATTATCTGATTAAGTACATATTTTATACATATTGTGCATTTTTATTCCTTTTTACCGCTTTTAACATTTATAGGATTATTTCTGGAACAAGTCACGACGTCGTACACTTGCCATTTTGGTACATGGTACAAACCGCGCTACATGAAATGCACCCGCGATTTACGACATGTTTATTTTAATATTATTCAATAGGGTCACATGAAATGCACTGTCGAATTGAGATTTACGTATCGCGACCATGCCACGGGAACCGTACCCATGACCACGATGAACTCATTTACACACCTAAAAGTTGGCCTACCCACGTGATGATGGCCTAGCATGCTGGTAGCGGTCCAATTAACGAGAGTAAGAATAAAGAACGACAAAATTATATCAAACTCAATCTCAAAACATATGGCAGGCCAAAATTTACATGTAACCCTTAGTCCTATTCCTTTTTTAAGTTCAGCACAAATTAAAATTAAAATTTCAGCACATATGGCAAGCCAAAATTAAAATTTCTGCGCAAGCTAGTTCGTAAGTAGTTTATTTCACATTCAGTTCTCAATATTTAATTTCCAAATTCGTGAGTTCCAAGTAAAGACAAATGCAACACAATTAAGAAACAACGAAACTTGCTCAAATAGTGACAGACCATTCATTCAATTTAGACAACTAGATTCAACATGATTACTAAGATAAAGTTCATTCAATCAACAGTCAAACATCAAAGTATTTACTAAATCATGCAAAAATAAGGCATCACATATATATGAGATCAAAGGAACAACAGATAAGGAAAGGAGATGGACCTTTATTGTTGCATATTCCTCAACGTGTATAACGACAGAAAATCTTCAATGCAACAATTCAATAACAAACTAAAGACCTGAACCTTGAACCGGAAACGGAGCTTCGAACGGATCTCATCTTCAATCAAGCTGTTACATTCGGGTATAGGAGTTCCATTTTTTCAGTGGGTTTTGTAGTGACGGGATGGTACCGATGCAACTTCTTCAGAACGGATTGGATCTCTCTTTACTTCTGGTTTCTGGATTGAAAATCGTCGTCGTCCCCTCTCACTCTGTTGCTGTTCGTTTTCAGTCGTCCTCCCCGTTCTACGTCCGTGTGTGCGTGTGTGTGAAGAATACAGGTGCTCAAGGGTGTTGTTTTGGTGAGGGTGACGTTAGGTTGAAGCTTAGGGGTCGTTGGTTTTGTTTTGTGTCTAGGAGAAGAAGAAAAGGGTCGTTCGTTGTTGGTCTCGCTGCTTAGGTCTTAGGGTTCCGCCAAAAGGGTTGAAGATGGAGGGGTGTCTGCGGCGCTGCTGGGAGCTTCTTCTTTTTCGTTAGGTTTTTTGTTAGGTCTTCCAAAAATCAGGGAAATGGCTGGTTAGGTCTCTTTATGCTGAAGGTTTTTTAGGAGTTATATCAAGCTTATGGATTTTTAGGGTTGAAAAAAAAAATCATGGGTCTAACGGGTTTTTTGGGCTTTAAAATTGAAATTGGGTTGGGTTCATGTCTTGTTCGATCTTAATTTTGGGCTAAGAAGACTAATTAAAAATATAAAACTTACTCTTAATTAATTAAAATACACTACTAAAATAAAACTAGGTATTAAAAGTGAAACTATTTTTTGTATTTTCAAATATTATGAGAGGTAGATAAACTAAAAATAACTAGATAAAATATTGATCAGTTAAATAAAAGAAAATATTTTTGTAATTTTTATATTTTTGATAAAATAAAGCGAAAGAGTCAAAATTAGTTAAAGTAGCGATATTAGACCTAAATTAAATATTTAAATGCTAAAATATGTAAAATCTTGGGGAGGATCAAAAATTACATGTCTACAGGACACACTTAACTGCATTTGCGGTCTCGCAGGTGTGAACACTTCCCTCCGCTTCTGCAGTTGTACCTGAAGGTCTCTGCCTTCGCTTCTGCGATCCCACATGCGCAGGTGTGAGTTCGCATATGCGAAACTTTCTCGTACCTGCAACGACTGCACACCCCTTTCCATGTCGCTTCTCTGATCCCTTACTCGCACCTGTGATCAAATCTCCGCAGGTGCGATCGCACCAGACTTGGTGCACTATAGCAATCTATCAAATTTCAAACTTGATCCGTTAACCATCTGAACTCCACCCGAGGCCCCCGGGACCTCAACCTAATATACCAACAAGTCCTAAAATATGATACAAACTTAGTCGAGTCCTCAAATCACATCAAAAACATGAATCGCACTCCAATTCAAGTCGAGTCCTCAAATCACATCAAAAACATAAGTTTTTATTAAACTTAAGGAATTTCAACTTCTACAATCGATGTCGAAACCTATCAAATCAAGTCTGATTAATCTCAAATTTTCCTCACAAGTCATAAAAGACACAACAGTCCTACTCTTAACTCTCAGAATCAAAATCCGAGCCCGGTAACCACAAAGTCAACTATCACGACCCAAAATCCGACTAGTCGTGATGGAACCTAACCCAACCCACTAGGTAAGCCAATCAATAACTAACCAATTCACTAAAGTTTAATAAAACAAATAATTAAATAAAATATCTTAATCTTATACATTTTCTAAGGACTAGAAGTACAAATCATGAGCTTCTAAGATTACAATTTACAAAGCTGGTATGAAATAAATACATCATCTGTTCAAAATGTACATAAACGTATTATTATAAATCTAAGGCTACCACTACAACAAATTTGGCCTAAGACCACACTAATTTTAAACAACGCTTAAAAAGCGTTGCCAAAAGTATTTGTGGGCACCCTTCTAAGGGTGGCCTTTGTTGAGAGTTTTAGGCCACACAATTTAGGCAACGCTTGTAAAGCGTTCTTTTTAACTACGCTTTTTAAGTGTTGTCAAATTATAAAATATTTGACAACACTTACTCACAAATATAGCAACGCTTTTAAAGGGTTCTGTTTATTCATGCTAAAAGTCGCTCTTTATAAGTGAATTGAAAAACTTCCAATAAAATTCCCCCAAATATTTTCCCCCATTATTTCTCTTATGTGAAATATCCCCCCTAGTTCTGAAGAGACCTCTAAAATATTTCTCCTTTGAAATTTTCCAATCCCTTTCCGCGTACCCCGACTCCTCCACCCGCTTACAACGACCAAGTCTATTCAGTACAAAAGATGGAGTTTCGGCAATGAAACTAATTGAGATGGTATTGCATGCACTGACTCAACTTGTGTTGGCACCTTCGGCGACACTTCCTCTGCAACACCCAGTCAAGTGCCGTCATCGATTTGTCTGCACCTTTTGTTCCTTTACGAAAATCGATAACTCTGCTTTCATACTTGTATGTGCTGATTTTGTCAAACCCACTTTGATTAATCTCTCTTTACTATTACTTTTTTGTGCTTAATTTCTTTTCTTAGAACTAAATATAATTTTGGTACGGATTTTTAGTGTTGCACTCTAAATCTTAAAGGACTTGAAGTTGCGAAATAAAAAAACCTTGTTGCACTTGAATGATTGTTTAAGGGCTTCTCGTGCTTATTTTCCCCTAATATTTTCAGGTTTCTATCATAATTTTTTGTCATATTACGAAAGAAATTAGTTTGCGTTCAATTTCTTGTACGCCTTATAAACTAACCCATGTCCTAATATTGAAGTGTGTTCAATTTTTGACAGTTTATGCAGGGGCGAGATAAGTAGATATGACTATCAATGACAGAGGTGAAAGACTTGAAAATTCCTCTCTAGAGGGAGATAGGTGAGAGTTTGATTTTGTACAAAAGAAACTTCAATTCGCTTGTGTGTATTATTGGATGGTTGTAGATTTAAGGGAGATGGGATGGGGTGGTAAGAATTTTTTAAAAAAGTAATCTAACATAGGATGTGCATTTGTGGCTTCCGCAATAGCCAAAAAATATCTCTATAATGTTCTTTTCATAATCTCATGAGACTTCTTTAGCTTAACTAAACATCACATCTGCTATTAAAAGCTACATGGCATATGCGATCTTGATTGCTTTCCTTTTGATGAAGTCGATGCTCCTTCCAATTTTCCTCTTGATTGAATTTGTGTGCATTATTACTGAGAATTCTTTGGTTTCAGCGCAAAGCTTCTTTCTTTAAAAAAATGTGACATGATCAGTTTGTGCTTGTGTTTTATCCTTTTCCTTTCCTTTGGATATATACTTGCTCATTACTAAAAGGTTTTATATTGGATTAATATGAATATAATATTATTTTTTGATAGGTATAAATATGGTATCGTTATGTGAAAAATCAGGTATGCATTGATTTATCAGCAAGTGCTTGTTTTGTCATGGTGAGAGTTAGATAGGTATTATTTATGTGGTTTTGTGATATTACCTTATAGTTGCTATCATCTACATTGTTTTTTGTACTGGAATGTTCCATGAAACTCCATATTGTATCTATCCAAAAAAGTGAATTGACATCCATTTTTATCAAGAGGAGTGTTAATATTATACTTTGTGAATCAAGTTGCTAATATTTCTATTGTGCAACACTTAAAATCTTTGATCTGACTATTAACCTTACGGTAGGAATCTAACTTATATGGTTAGGTTCCTTTTGTTTCTCCATGCTTGAGAATGTTACTAACATAATCTAAATTCTGTTATTAGGTTTATCATGTAGATATTTCATTATTTACCTGCATTTTGCCAATCTATTGATAAAATAGATATTTGCAGATTCACTGCCTATTGCAAATTCTACTTAGTTCATGCTTGCAAAATATCTCCTATTGGACGTGTAAATATTGGCAAAAAATAAGTAATGGCTATTACTTCATTAAAATAACTACTAGTATATAATTTATGATCAATCTAATTGGATGCCGATCTAGCCAGTTGATATATAAATTGCGGGTTTGATATTTATAAATTTTTGTGCAAAGATTGAGTTTGTTGAAACTTTCTGTTTCAAGATACCTTGAATGAAAGTAAGACTAATGTGTTCCATAAGGAACATAAAGATTTTTGGACTTTGCCAAGTATTTTTATACTACAAAAAAAATATTATATATTAAATATTGTTAATATTATAACCCATACAAAGTTAGTTAATTCTTTTTGATTTTGGATTCATCATCCATATTTAGCATACTGAAATCTTTCCCATATACTAGGTATTCATCTGACTTATGGTTATTCATTAATGCATTTAGGAAGTTTACTTGTGACTTTTAGTGTGATGTGATTTGGACTTTCCCTTGGTATTTAGGTTGCTGGTTCATAACTACACGAAAAGAGACATACATTGGCACTTGTATAAGATTATATTTTTGTCATATAAGGTTACTTAAGCAATATCTGGTAATTTTTCTATCCAATTATACAATTGCTTTATTTTTCAAGCTTCTTACTCGTAGAATTGTAAAACATATACTACTGTTGAAGCCAAAACTATGATTTTATCCACTAGTTATTTTCTCTAAAATCAGTACTCCATTATAACATATGTTCAACTTTATTAGAATGTTTTATGCTTCATACCACCTAGAAATTAGAAAAATATTTCATACCACCTAAAAGTTTATGCCTTCTTATTACTTAGTTTTCGTCTTTGAGGACATTCATAAGGCGAAGCGAAAAGCATCTTACCTACATATTTGTGAAATCAAACGAATTATTGTCTTGTACGAAGAACATAAAAATATCATGTATTATGCCAGAGGGGTCGTACATGCATTCAAAAGTTACTGCTTTCTAATAGAGACATGGTGTACAAGTAGCTTCCAAATGTCATTTTCTCTGTTGAAAGTAATGTGCATCTGATTGGTGAAGATAAGTGCTAAGTTGGATAGTTTGTTATTACATATTCTATCAGAAGGTCATTGTTAAGTTTGTAGCCCCCCTAAATAATGAGGCCAACTTAAACATGATTGTATAGAGTTATTTGCATGTGGTGGTGTGAACTGGTCTATATCCACTACTCACTAAAACATATAAGAAATTACTCTGAATGTCAAATGGCTACTGATTTCTATTTGTCCGCGCATCCACTGTCTTCTGCCCCGAAAGTACTACTTTTTCATTGTTAATAGTGTTGTGCTTTTGATTGGTGAAAATATGCTCATTTGAGTTTGCACTTGTATAATATTGGTTTCTATCTAGCTTTTAATTTGATTTTAAATTTGTAGGAAAATTCTGGAGATGGAATTGAAAATGGTGGGACTAGAACAAATTGATTTATCAGAAGCTAATAACGAAGAGTTTTGGACAATTATGGGCAGCTCGGTGCACTACGCTCCCGCTATGCGCAGAGTCCGGAGAAGGGCCGGATCACAATTGGACCATTATGATATTTATGATATAATATGAATATATATATATAAGGTTAATGGCTGGCAGACACCTTGAAACAATTGGTTTTATTATTTGATGTTGTATATGACATATTCCTTCTTCAAAGTTCATTGCAAGTATATTCATTTGAAACAAAATTTGTTATTTAATAGTTAATGTAGTGTTTGAGATCAGCATATTGAAGTTCATATTTATGAAATAAATGTGATTATAGCATATATGAAAAAAATATAATCTTGAAACATAAAATTGATAATTGCATAAAGGTTAAAATATGTATAACAATGCTACGCTTCAAAAGTGTGGCAGGAGGGTATTAGTATTAAAGACCACGTTTTACAAACGTTGCTATTGGAGCAACGCTCGGAAAGGGTTGCTTATAAGTTGACAATGAGCACGCTTCAAAAGTGTAGCTATAGGACATAAAAAGCGTGGCTATTGTAAGGCGTGGCCTTTGCCTCATGAAAAGCGTTTCCTTAGGACAAAGGTTGCGCTTACTTAGGCCACCCCCTGAAAAGCGTTGTCTTAGGTCAAAAAGTATGGCTTTTGATCAAATGCCACACTTTCTAAAGCTTAGGCCACACTTTTTGAGTGTGGTTAAAGGCCTAAAATGTTGTAGTGTACCATGAATAAGAGGCAGCTACAACCGGAATGCAGGTACGTCTTCAATTCTAGCTCTCGTCAATCACAGCAACATCAGCAGCCAACATCTGCATGCAAGGTGCTGAAGTGTATTATGAGTACAACCGATCCCATGTACTTAATAAGTAACAAACCTAAACTTAGGTTGAAAGTACTGATGAGCTGGAACAAAGGTCGGAGTCCAACACCAATAGCCAACAACAGTTGGCTTATCTAGCGGGTTGAGTTAGGTTCCATCACAACTAGTGAAGTTTGGGTCGTGACAAGTTGTTATCAGAGCCCTAGGTTCGTAGGTTCTGTGAGTTACAAGAAAATGTCTAGTAGAGTCTTACGGATAGGTATGATGACGTCTATACCTATTTTCAGGAGGCTACAGGGCATTTAGGAAAATTTTCCTTTCTTCTTTTCTCATCGTGCGGCCTTGTTTCAGCTTGAAACCTATGATTTTGATTCTTCCCATTTGTTCATATGTGATGTAGCGCACTCAGTATTCGTTATGTGCTAATAATCTGTGATGATGTGGATGGATTGCGAAAGGATATGGATGCTTGATTATCATCATGATGTGTTGCCTAGTCTCAGGAGCAGATACAACATTAAATCTTCCAGTCGTTCATTTGTGGTACGAGGCGGGTTATTATATCTGGTTGGTAAACATAGACTTAGGAAGACTGGCTGGTGGCCTAGTTGTTGTGATTAAGGTGGGTTCATGGTAAGGTGTCGATTTGAGTACAACCAGTAGGTCATCCCCTGCGTGATGAGTCTGGTCGTATGTTTTGTACGAGGTTTCCATTCTATGGAGTGCATATATTATCATTTCAAAGCATTTGGGGAAGTTGTTTGACTATTGCACGGATGGGTAAGCATTTGGCAAAGCCTTCGGAGTGTTCTATGACCAGTATTGCATGTGTTTTTGAAGTATTCAACTAAATAGCCGTGCGGGATCGAGGCATGCTATGAAGATGTGGTACCTTGGATTACTAACGATGTGTTCTATGGCTTCAGGCTAAGTGGGGGAGTCTACTAATGACGATCGGTTTGTAGGATCATGCGTTGTATCAATTTTCGGGCTGAAGGATTGCTTGGTTGTTTCTTTAAATAGTCATGTGCTGGTGAAACGCGAGTTGTTCGATGCGTATTAGTTGTGCATTTAAGATCAGAGTAAGGTAAGGGGTTATAGAGAAGGTTTTGACGAGCTCCGGGTCTAATATTGCATTTAAGGACTTCTGAATTTGTGTACAGGAAGGGTTGAGATTGATAGCGAATGGTGATCGCATCTATAGTATTTCTTTGTCAAGAAAGATTCTACATGGCAATGTTGGAAAGGTGCAAGAAATGGATTCGGGTTCCTAGGAGGTTCCTTCGGGCAATCATATTGGATTGAGTTATTCCCGAGTTGGCAGTCTAGGTGATTCGGTTCAGTTAGAGGCGATCAATCCTGATGACTCGATCATGTGTTATTGAGTTCCGAAAAATTCATCATGGTTATGGCAACGGCCAGAGTGGGTGTTTGCTACAGGTATAGGAGCTATATTACGTGCGGTGATATTCTCCTAGATTGAATTAAATGCAAGGTTTGCAGTTGATGAGATGTTCAATTTGCTCAGGGTACAGAGTTGATTATGGAATTTTCGTATATCACGAGTTACCATGTTAGAGGTGATGCACCTTGTGGGGTTTAAAGGTTTCATGTACAAGGTTGCAGTTTAGTGTTGGAGGGAAAGATATGACTTCTTGATGACACAGACGATTTCGGATGTTTAAGATTATGCAAGCACTATTTGTTTTCGCCGAAGGGGAGTTCGCCTGTTGGCAGGTGCATTGTGTTTTGACTTGTGGGTACTTTTTTGTAAGATGATGGAGTATGAGTGACGTATCAGCCAGTTGAGTGGCGGAGTTGACATAGATGTGGAAATTCTGGTATACGTGAGGTTCGGAGACTATATTTGCTTGTTGGCAGACTATTCCTTGATTGTGAATTGTGAAGAAATGTTGCGTATTGAGTGATTGATGGTGTGTGTTATGGAAAGGTTTCCATGGACTTTTGGAAGGTTATTTAACTGTTTGGGAATGATCGGGATTTGGTTTGGGGAGTATTTGTGAGCCTAATTAGAATGTGTATTCTGTATCAGATCAGATTTGCTTGCTCATGCGTAGCTATTACCACGAGCATATCATCGGGCGATGTTATTCACGCCTTGGTATATGTTATGTGTTTCTCTCTTATGTTATAATAGGTTGTGAGGGTTACATGATTTTTCGCACACATATTGTAATTTGGTATGGGCCTTATGGTATTATGGATGAGATGGCCTTCGTGATGTTGACTTCCTTATTGCACCATAGTTGTGCTTATCATTCTTAGTATTATTCTGCCTAATCTTCTTCCCACAACTATATTTTGTACACTTTATCATGCTTGATGTTGACGCACATGTGATCGGTGAGCCCAAGTATTAAAAGTGGTTGATATGATGGGATCGAGTTGTGCGCTGCAACGGTACTGTGATGAAATGTAACTACTTATGCTTATTTCATGTATTTTGCTTCCACCTTGTTGAAAATAGTTCATAGGAACATGTAAAAATTACCCTGCCTGCTTAACTTGCTTAGTAGCCTTCTTATTTAACTTTCTTACTATTATCTGTCATAGATAAATTATTACTTGTTTGATGTACGAAACCGCATTGTGTGGGGCTCCATGTGATTTTTGTTGAGACTTGTCAGTTGGGCTGCTTCTATTGGCGGAGATGAGGTTTCTAGACCCGAGATTTGCACTATCGTATTAGGATAAGGAATGTTTGGAAGGATGGTACTATATTTCTGCTGAGGATTTGGAATGGCCCTGGTCGGGCGAGTAATCTTCTTGGCTTGTTGATCAAATGAGTGGTTAAGAGGTTCTGTGTGTTTCTTTCATCATCGACAGTGTATGAAGGGGTTGAACAAGGTTCTGATCGATATGAGGTTTACTACCGGTACCGAATTTGTTTTTGGGTAGACATGATGGTCAACAGTTACTGCTGTGAGTATCTCAGTGAGTGGATATATCATGTGATTACGTCTTGGGTTATGATTATGACTTAATGCAGCTTGTTCAGACGTATACATTATGTAGATGCGGGCTATGGTTGAAGTAAGGATCTCTAGTTATGTTGTGTTGGCAGGCTAATATGGAGTGGGGTGATGTGGGATCACCCCGAGTATATGCATGGTAAGTTACACCTTGATTTGATAGCTTTGGAATGACTCCAGGCACGTTCGAGGATGAACAGATGTTTAAATGGGGGAGGATGTAATGACCCGACTGGTTGTTTTAAGCAATTGCACTTCGCTCGGTAGTTTGAGGGCACGAGTATCTTTGCATGATGTATTATGACTTGTGTAAATCGTAGGTTTTGATTTTCAAGTTATTCAGAATCGATTTGCAAGAATGAACTTCAGGATTGAAGCTTTACGTTGGAAGAGTTGACCAAGTTTGACTTTTTTGCATTTGACCTTGAATTGGAGTTTTGATGGTTCCGTCATGTCCAGATGGTGGTTTTGGACTAGGGTGTATGCCCAGATTTACATTTGGATATTTCTAGAAGGATTCGACACTAATTGGCAAAAGTTGGAAACTTGTAGGTTTAGAAAATCCATAAATTTGACCAGTGGCGGAGGCAGGATCTCCACGAAAGAGGTTAAAAAAAAAATTCTGTATCTAGTGGGAATTGAACTCATGACCTTATGTAGATTTTGAACCCCCTTGACCACTAAACTACACTTTTGGATTGTGTTAAGGGGGTTCAAAACTTACTATATAGAGGTAAAAATTAGATTTTGCCTTATATATACAGTGTATTTTTTCGGCGAAGGGGGTTCGGGTGAACCCCTTTGCGCCCCCCTAAATCCGCCCCTGAATTTGAGCATAAGTGACTTTAAGGCTATTGGGTTCGGACTTTGGTTTCAGAACTTGGAATAGGTCTGTTTCGTCATATGAAACTTGCCTGCAAAATTTAGAGTCATTCGGAGTTGATTTGATATGGTTCGAACGCTTGGTTATGGTTCTAGAAGTTCTTGAAGTTTATTATGATCTTCATGCGTTTTGGTCATCCGATTCGTGCTTTTAGACGTTATTTTGATGTTTTGATATCATGCAAGCAAGTTTGTGTTGTATTTTTGGACTGGTGTGGGTGTTTGGTTTGGAGCTTCGGGGGTTCGGGTGAGTTTCGGATTGGTTTCGGGATGATTTTATATGATGTTTGAGAGTTTTGGTACTGGTTTCACCACATTTGCAATGTTTTTGTCGCATCTGCGAAGTCTACCTTGCATTTGCGAACCTGGGCTACTGGGGAAGGGAATCGTACTTGCGTAAAAATGTCGCTTTTGCGAAGCCTGTTGAGTTCGCATTTGCGAACTCTATATCGCATTTGTTATAAAGGCCTGAGCTGGGTAGGTTCACTTTTTAG